GGGAGAAAAAGTCCTTGGGGCATAAAATATGAATAGACATTTTCCCAAGGAAAATAGACATATGACCAATAGGCACATGAAAATATGTTCAACGTCACTAATTATTAGGGAAATGCAAATAAAAAAATATAAAGCCAATGATGACCCCATAGCTGTTAGAATGATTATCAAAAAGACAAGATTGAAGTGTTGGAGAAGATGCTGAGAAAGGGAACCGTCATACATTGTTGATGAGACTGTAAACTGGTACGGCCACTATGAAAAATAATATGGAAGTTCTGCAAAAAATTAAGAATATGATCTAGAATTCCTTTTCTGGGTACTTATCCAGAAGACTATGAAAACACAAATTTGAAAATATGTATGTTCTCCTATGTTCAATGCAGCAGTACTTACAATAGCCAACATACAGAAACAAGCTAAGTGTCTATCAATAGATGGCTAAATAAAGATGTGGTACATATACAATGAAATACTACGCAGCCATAAAAAAGGAAATATTGTCATTTGTGACAACATGGAAAGATCTTGAGGGTATTATGCTAAGTGACATAAATTAGATGAAGACAAAAAGAACAAAAACCCTTTGGTTTCTCTTATATGTGGGATACATAACAAAAAAGTGAGATGAACTAACACAACAAAAATAAACCCAGAGATACAGACCAAAGAAAGGTGCTATCCAGAGGCAAGGGCTGTGGGGGAAGGGAAAAGAATATATGGTAAAGGATGGAAACTAGACTTTGAGGGTAAGCACAAAATCGAGTATAGATACTGAATGATAATGTTGTATACTTGAAATTTATATAATGTTATTACCCAACGTTACCTCAATAAAAAATTAATTTTAAAAGTCCTCAATGACAAGAGAAAAAAAATATCAGTGAAAAGAACTAGCAGGAAATTAAGAGAGATGTAAAAAAAAAAAAAGAGAGAACAAGTGCAGTGGCCTAAAATAAAAGTGTGTGTTTATTTGTATAGAGCAAACATGAAATTTCAAAGTAAGTAAATCTCAAGAATCATTAACACATGGAAGAAATTAATGAGTGGGAACTGGCATTTGAAAGGCATGTCTTACAACGTTTTACTATGGAAGGAGAAAAATACCTATAAATCAGTACATATCCAGCTATATGGAAATTTTTGAATGTGGAATAAAGGAACCCCTAAGTGAAGCTAAAAAAAAGGCAATCGTATCAGATGAAGCATTCTTTTTGGTGACCTGACCAGATGCAGCATCCAGATGAGTTTCTGTAACATGTTGCAAACAAGTGCAATAATTAAAATACAAACATGATGTAATGGCAGCTTAATTTTTCCCAAATAGGAGCATCAGATAAACTTCTATATGCTGAAAATTGTACCTTTCCTAACAGATAAAGGAAGCACTGAGGGGAACTGATTTAACTAGTTCATACTTACATTTGAACAAAGAGAGCTGAATGATGATGCAGAAGTGACAGGAACTCTGGTAGTGACCATACCCAGGAAAGACAAGGACATTGTCAAACATGTAGCCTACACCTGTGGTTGGACATTTTCAGTCACTCACGATATCCGTAGGAAACAGGAGATACATTGGATTTATAGACGTCTCAATCAGATAATGACTGGCGGATTCATGTCAATGGTGAGAAAGTCCACTACCTGGTCTATTCTTGGTTTGGTTCTACAAAACATTTTAGATCAGTAACTAGAAGAAATGGGAGCATTTCCATCTATTTTCAGGTGACATGAAGGGAGAGTTAAAATCAGGGTAAAATAGTTTATTCAGTAAATACTAATTGAGCACCTTTATGGGCAAGTGTCAAAGTGAGTGAATACAAAGATGAATCAAGATCTAGTTTTTCCTCTCATGACTTCCTTTGGGGAAATCAAATAGAGGAGAAAAATATGTGTAAATAATCACTGGATAGGGTATGAAGCTGTATGTTTCATAAAAAATATAGATAACACGGTTAGAAAGGTCAATGATAAGAGATATTACCTTAGTTTTATGTCATGGTGGGTTCAGAATTTGTGATGATTGGGAGGAAGTGTTCACAGGAACATGTTAGAGGAGTAGAATCTGGGCACGCAGTAATTAAGAGAAAGGGAATTCAGATTCAGCGGTGGAAAAGCATGGAGCTTATATCGGGAAGAACTTGTGGTTTGGTACGAAGAACGGAATTCAGGACAGGCAGTGGTAGGAAACAAACGTTGGGTAATAAGGTTCTGGGATCCAGGCTGGCACAGTAAACTAAAAACAATAAAATTAAATTTAACTTGGATGAACCTGCAGTTTTAAGATGGCAGTGTAAAGATGTTGCTCCCCTTAAAACTACCTCTGAACAGTAAGGCCCAAACTCCAATTTGAATGACTAAGAGGCATATATGAACCACAATAACATGGAAATTAAAGGCAGATAAAAGAACGACTGATGACTTAGCACAGACAAGCCAAGTCTCTGTGCCTGAAGAGGGACACGCCACAAAGCAGCAGTACCTCCAGGACCCTGGAAACACTGAGGAATTAGAAGTACCCGTAACAAAGCAGAGGGGAGGTAAAGGACTGAAAACAGGAAAATTGGGCTAAAAACAAGAAAAGGCTGAGGCAGAAGAAACTAAGCCCCTGCTCATACTCAGGATACCAAGCAGAAAGAATGGGCTGAAGCTGAAGTACTTCTATAGGATTTCTTTAAAAATTAATAATTACTTATTCTTTCTTAAATGTTTCTAAATAAAAGTTTTTAATGATGTTTAATATAAGTTGAAATATTTTTAAGCACTTCCTAATCAGAATTTAAAAGAAATATTTGTACTCTAGCTCGAAGTCCCAACATCAGAGATTTTAATTTAGTAGAGTAGGGACCAGGAACTTGTATTTGACAAAAAACCACTGAGTTAGTGTAAAAGAGAAAAATTTACACCAAAACCCAGCGAAAGGTAAAATTGTGTAGAGAAAAATATAGGCATGTTCATTCACTGGTAAACACTTACGTGTCAGGTATTGTTCCAGGAACTGGGAACGGTGCAGTCCCTGAATAACCCTCCACCATCAGAGTTTATATTCCAGCGGAGGGAGGTATACAAACATGGTATGTAGGACTAGTAGCATTTCACATATTATTGGAAGGTTACATGAACACAGTGAAGCAGGCAGGGGTTAAAGGAATGAGGCCAGAGAGAAGGCAATACACGAGTAAAGATCTGAAGGAAGTGAAGGTGTACACCACGAAGATACCTGGGAAGTGTCTGAGGCAGAGAGAACAGCTGACACAAAGGCCCCGAGAGAGGAGACTGTCCATTTATTTACTCAAGGGACGTCAAGAAGGCTAGCAGAGCTGAGCTGAATAAGCAAAGATAAAAGATCAAAAAGGGAGCAGGGGAGAGCTAAATTGTACAGGATCTCAGGGGCCTGTGAAGGAATTTGATTTTTACTCCTAGTGAGATAGAAAGCCATACGAATAGAAGAATGGATATTTAAGGAGTAGTTTAAATATATATATATATATTTATATTTATACACACATATGATATATGTAATTCTGAAATACAATGGAATCAGTCTAAGTAATTAATAAAAATAATTTTAAGTGGTGTCTGGAAACTTTAGCTGTCTAAATAGATATAGGTGATACCTACTATAGCACCTCGAAGTGTTTAATAAATATTTGTGGAATAAATGGACAGTGGATTTAAACAGAAAAGAAAAATAAGAGTTTAAAAATTTTTGTAAAATCAGAAGTAATAAATGCATTAAGAATGTAACAGTTATCCTGAGATACCATCTTTTATCAAAGATGTCCAGGCATTTGTATAGAAGTCGATGCTCCTATTTCATACTTTACATGCATTATACAAGAAGAGACTAAACCAAAAGGCTTCCAGAGTCACTCTGAAACCCTTCTTTTGTTTGAAAGAGTCAAACACAGTTTTTAACGGCTCATATTTTAAGCTCAGCTCAAGCTTTCCTGGGTTCTAGTTTTAAAAACTTATTTATCATGATTCATACCAAACCATCTCTGCTTTATTCTTACAATAAAAGAACCTGGTATATTCTCGTCCCAAAGTCCGGTTCAGTTTTTTCTACAGATTAGACAGAGTCCCGGGTTTTGACCAATGACAGAGTTCTGGAAGCGACAAGCCCACTGCTTTGACACTCTCTCCTCCCACTGTCAACACTGCAGCTTCTAAATGAGTGAAGCCACTCTTTCTGGTTGCCATATACTATTTGTTTAAATTACTTTGCTGGTAAAGAATGCATCGATGGCAAAAGGGAACTGTTCTTGCTTAGTATCGGCACTTCCTTTGCCTGATAGTGAAACGGTACAAAAACATCACTTTTTTAATGAACAGAAAAACAGTGGGCTGCCAGCTCCTTCATCCACTGCAATAGGACCTTTACAGGAATGGAAAGAAATGAGCTTCTACTGTTATATACAACTGCAGATCATACCATGGCATCATACCATGTAATGATTTCCTAGAAAAAATATAAAGTCTAAAATCATATAATAAATGAAAATCATTATGTTATATGGCTAAAAGATTTATGCTCTTAGACATGTTTACTGATTTTGGAGAGAGGAGAAGGGAGGAAGAGATGGAGGGACAGAAATAATGACGTGAGAGAAACATCAATCAGGCATCAATCAGTTGCCTCTTGTATGTGCCTTGACCAGGGATCGAACCTGTGAGTTTTCTGTTTATGGGACCATGCTCCAACCAACTGAGCCACACTGGCTATAAAGGGTGATTTATGCTGTTTTCAAAGAACTGAACCATTGATAGACAAAATTCAGAATAAAAATATACAAAAAATTTTTTGTGCTAGCATATGGGAATTAAGCTAAAGCCATATGAAGAATCCACTTTCATTCCTCCATTGCTACATCCTAGATTTGCAATGATAACTGTATAAAGCAAGAAAATTTATGTAAGTCTATATTAAACTTCTAGTTCGAAGTGTGAGAACAATTTTCATTAGAAAGGTCTGACTTTTGGTTACTTTTTTCCAGGGCATGGATTGAACATAGGAAAGAAGTAAGAGAGTAGAAAATTGGTCGCTTGGTTTAGCAGTTCTTCAGGCTGAAAAATCGCAATGAAACCTCCAGGGATAAGAGTTTCAAACAAGGCTGCTGGACAGAGAAGACAGACCAAATCAGCTTACCACTTGAACCATTCTGAGATATCTGGCATATCTTGGATCCTTGGCTACAGTTAAGATATTTGCTGCTGTTACTTCACTTTCCTGTGGTCCAGAGTCTTGTAAACTGTTCTGCTGTAGAGAGTATTTCGTGTAAATCTTTAGACAATTCACAAAAGGGGTCCATCATGTTACTTTAAAGGGATTTTTAAAACAACTCTAAAGCAATAGATATCAGAAAAAATCATATTTTAAATTTAAATACCAAGTTTAATGATAAGATATATGATTCCAAATATTTATAAATACTTAAATATGATTTAGAGGAAGCTACACTTAATAACACTATTTTGTTCCTTAAAAATGCAAATATATTTATGGAATTAAAAAATTAGAATGCTGCTTTACTTTCCCAAGGGAGCTATAAAAAAGATGAGTTATCAGTGGACATATTATTTTAATAAAACTTCTAATAAAGCTAATAAAACTATTCAATTTGTCTACTGTTCGACTCTAATGCACAGTGAATCGATTTTCTAAGTGTCATCTACACAATTGAAGTCCTCATTCACAAAATAATCTTTTTCGAAACTGATACGGCCATTCTAACATCTCAGAAAGCAATGCCTAGAGAATTTGTGGAAGAAAAAACTCATTTTTCAAACAAAATGATCTGGTTTTGTGTATTTCAGCCACTGAAGGAACTATTAATGGTAACGTTCTCCACAGAGTGGTTAAGATGAAATACCAACTACTACTCCCAGTGAAGGATACTGGGGAACGGTCTCTTGGAGACAGATGCCTTCCTCGGGCAGACGGCTCTCACGGAGCTATGCTGACCAAAACCTGTACGGAGCTATGCTGACCAAAACCTGTCCATACTGCAGCCCTGCCCCAAGTGCAACGCTAGGACTGTCTATACAGTTCTTGCTTGCTCTATCAAACTAAACATTTAGAACACATTTATTTCTGTGAATCCTCACTCATTATCTGTATATTAACATCAAATTCCTCAACAGTATGAAATCAATTTCATGTCCACATACCTATACTGAAATGTAGACAAATCAAAAAATATCTTTAAATATTCAGCTTTAAAAATATAAATCTGAATTATGTATTACAGTTTTTCCTCAGATAATTCAAATATAAATTAAATCTGTCAAACACTCTGAAGCAAATGAAACATTCAAAAAATCCTTCAGGTTTCTACTGTCACATTAAGTGCACAAAAAGGAGTATGTGCGTGTATGTGTGTATATATTCATCTGTAAAATAAATAAATACAAAAAGCCTAAAACATTTAATAAATGAAAAATGCAAACAAGCCCCAAGTATGTTTTTTTTAAAAAGTTATGAATAATAAGCTCATACAAAAGTACACCAGACTAAATGATAATTACATATAGGCCCTCTGGATCTCAAAACTTAGCCATTAACTTTTGCCTACTAATCAAGACCTCAACAAGGTTTAATTATGTCAGGTCTTACACCTTTGCTATTTGAATGACCCAATAAATCCTCTATCATATCTCTCAACTGTCCTTCATTTTATCTGCATCTGCACAATTGGATGTTCTATTGTGAGTAATGATGAAATCTGAACCATGAAATTAAAGTTGCAGAAAAATCAGTATGCAAAGCTTGGATCTTTGACTCATATATAGAAATCACAATGAATGGATGATTAAGAAAAAGTGCATTATTATCCTTTATCTGATAAGTTGACTGTAATGCCAATGGAAATGCTGTATTAAGCAATACTTAAGTCCATTCCAAAATGTTTTGCAAAAATATACCAATTAATAACAATGGAGAAGTAAGTTGATATGATATTAAGAACATGATAAACAGTTATTTTATTAAACTAATCAATATACAACTTTACCCCATTTTAAAACTCAGGAAACCAAGAGAACATCATAAATCCTCCAAATGAATTAATATGCAATTTTAAAATAAAATTGCCAGAGATATATCAGGTTATTCTGAATTTTAGAAAATTTAGCTGTGATCACTCATAATAATTTTTCTGAGACCTTATGTAGGCAGGACGAATACAACTGCATAAGTTTTAAAAGGTGTATTACAGATGGCATAGTAACACCTGAAAAATTAATATTCCAAGTTATACAAATACACTTAAAACTTTATAGAATATGACAGCTAGTATCCACTCTTCTAGGAAGAGTGCAAACACTTCTTAAATTTTTATGTCTTGTTTTAGAACAGGGGTAGTCCATATTTAATAGAAAGGGCCTATAAACTCAACATCTGGATTGTCTCTTGCACATTATACATATTCCAATGGCCCTCACAATAGAATTTCCTATATTAATGAAATGGATGTTAAATTTTCTAGTATCTCATTGTTAAGTAAATGGTCATCTAATTCATTACAAAAATCTCTGATCTATCTAAATATATGGCTCCTCCTACAGTGCCTCGGACCACATGGGTGAAACACATTTAATGAATTCAGCGTAGGTGATAGAGGTGATGATAGTGCTGCAGGTTAAGAGCTATGACTTTGGGCACCAGATTGCCTGAGTTAAAATTCTAGCTCTTACACTTGCTGTTTGACCCATAGCGAGTTACTTATTCTCTGTGTACCTTAACTGACACATTTGTAAAGTAGAAACAATGACAGAATTTACTTTGTAGGGCTGTTATGAGGATTAAGTGAGTTGATTTATGAGAAGCACTTAGAAGTATGCCTGGTTCACATAAGTACCCTTTACATGTTAGTCGTTATCACCATAGTCAACACAATAATGATCTAAAAAATATCATGTGAAAATACCTCCAGGTGCAAATGCAGAATCCCATACAGATAGAAGTATACTTGTTTGGTATTAGTTGGTAGAACACCAAGTTTGGGATGATTTTATATTGAATTTTAATATCTCTAATTAATTAACCACCAAGTTTAATAATCTGTAGTAAGATGCGCTAGAGATTATTCTCAATTTTAATTTCTTGAAATAAAAATACATAATTTAAACTTATACAGAGAATAAATGGACATTAAGGCTTGAGACCCAAATGTAAAATCCAAAACATAGACAACTGGTATTTCTTTGATCAGTATCTCTCAAATTTCAAGAACCTACTAATCACCTAGGGAACTTGTTAAAATGTAGATTCCGGTTCAGCAAATCTGGGGTGGAGCCTGATATTTCTAACAAGCCCCCAGGTGATGATCGTGCTGCTGGTCCTTGGAGCAAAGGTTGAGTAACAAGAGGTTACATGATGCCATGGAATCACTTGTCAATTATATTGTGCATGACAAAGGCACTGCTTTTATGCAAGAAAATGTCAGAACATTTCAGATGCGCCATGAGTTACACAGGGATGAAAAGACATGATGCCTGGGGTTCACTATAGCACGTGATGAAACAGAGATGAAGGCAATGGCCGCAGAATCTTAACCGGGGACTCTGGGTAATGGGTACTTGGACATTCCTTGTACTATTTTATTATTGTGTATATTTGAAAGTTTTTAAACATTTAAAAAGAACATTTCTTATGAGAACTTAGAAAAAATGTCCATAGTGGTCTTGAAGGAAATAATTATATTCAAGATTTTTCCTAGTCCTGTATAAATCAAGTTGCTTTGTCATAGGCAAAGAAAATATTAACTTTGGGAACCCCTTCAAAATATTAAAAAAAAACCCAGCTAATTTCTTTCAAATTTCATTTCCTACCTTAAGGTTTTAAAATGTTACTATTCAAAGTTTTATACTTTTATTTAACTTCTTCCATCCAATATGCTGCATTGCTCTGTCTGATGCAACCAAAAGATCTGCTCATGTTTCTTGGAACTTAAATACTTACCTGTGATTGCTCTGAAGTGGTTTCAGCACGCGATTCATTTGTGATACTGGTGACACTTATGGGGCGTACTTCACATGTGACATCATCTAGGCCTGGGATAGATGATAACTGAGAAAAGAAAGTTAACTTCGGTATGTGAGGATGATATTAGGTACTTAAACACTCTAAGTTTCCAGGTGTGTGTTTTAAATAGCTCTCCTATGTTTTTAAGCCTGTAGCAACAAGTTTATAAAACCTCATTTTGGGTGTGTGAAATTCTCCATGCTACCAACTATTTAAAAAGGAAAAGTCATTAATAAATAAAATATTCTTGAACAATTTTTTACAAGTCTAATTTAGCTTATAACTTTTTTTTTAAACCAAAAATTACTTTGAAAATACAAGAAATCCTAGTGTAAGAAATGAGAGCGTAGGCTTTGGAGTCGGTGCCTGGGTTAGGTCATAAGCCATATGACCTTGTATAAATCTCTGTTATGCCTTGATGTTCTCACCTGTAGAGTGGGGATAAAAAATCCTTACCTCACAAAGACGCTGTACAAAGATCATTACTAAACATTGTTAAAAAAGTACTCGGTAGCACATTTCAACTTTCAATTATTTGAGAAATGACAAAACTTTTGTCTTCACCTTTTAATGTCTGACATAGCTCACTTTTCTTTCTTTAAACATTTATCTTTGAATGTTACTATAACGTGTTATTGTTCCTGCACAAAAAAACGGGCATGCTGTCAGCGGTCAAGCATTTCATGTTGGAGCCACAAGATCCATGCAAACCCTCTTTTCTGATTTCATCTTGGTATCAATGATGAACATTTGTCAAATGTTTGGTTAATTTTGGAGATTAACTCTATGACCATGGAAATAATTAAGGTTAACTTGTCCATATAGGAACTTTACTTGTGACCTTGGGCTCTGACTCAAGAATTCCCCAAATATGAAAAAAAAAAAGACACATAATCATAATAAAGAATAATGAAAAACCACTGGTAATGAGAACTGAAGAACTGAAGCAGTGATTTTCATTGGGGACTGTTGACTGACGACAGTACTTAGCACAGTGGCCAGGGCCCAAGTGGGTATGGCAGCTAGAGTTTCTTGAATATGTTCAAGGCCAGGTAAATTTTCTAAGTCAGAGAAATGTTCTGAGAGAAATACAGTGACTGAAGTCTACAAGAAGACGTAAAAGTACAAACTAGACATCCTGATCCTTATGCTAAAGATATCTGTCATTTTACTTCCTCATAAATACTTAGTATTTTTTCAGGTTAATTTTTTTGATAAAAGGACAAAGTCACAAAAATACACTAGTGTCTTTATTATTCTACAGAAGCAAAAAACCCAAATCTGCAAGCTTTCAAATCAAAACAACATTCTATTTTTACTAGTTATCTTTTGTAATTTCTGACCTCAAAATGCATATATTTTATTAGTTTTTAATATATTTGCAAATACAACATGGCTGGTATTGACTCCAAATTCTGCTCTGGAGACATCTCAAGTTATATAATTTTTACTGTTATCACATAATTATTATTAACATAACTGATAATTTTCCATCAAATGAAGTAAACTATGTAACAGCTCGATTTGTTAACATGTTACTCATATTATGCTTTTGACTACGATAATGAAAGAAACCTCATCCCATGAGTACTTTTAAACAGACTCAAGTTCATGAGTATCTTTCCTTTTTTTAATTATAATGAATTTAGAAAAAATAAGTAAAAAACACTTTATTACTTCAGGATACAGGAGCTGAGTTTATTTCATTCCCCAATGCAATTAAAGTTAAGTATAACTGAGACAGTTGATGAGTATACAGCAAAGTTGATATTCTGAATTATTTAAGATACAAACCTTTGCATCTAAAATGTTGAGTGTTGTTTCAATTTGTTGGATACGAAGGGAAAGGTCTGCCAGTTTCTGGAAAACATTAGAAACAAAAGAATAACTTCTGATTAAAATAAACTATTAGGATATTAGGATAAATAGGGTAGAACTGAAAATAATAAAAACTATGGTTTAAGTACTTGTCATTTTCTACTATACTTTCTTGTTTACATGAATGGGAATAGGAACTCAGGTATTCTGTTATTTTCATCAGCATGCTTCACATTTTTTTATAAAACTGTATTCACAGATAAGAAGTGCATTTCTAGTCTTATCAAACTCATTATCAGAGCCATAATCAATATGGGGGATCAGAATGAAAACTTATCCTGGGACAGTTTCTGTTCACTGCTGCAACCCCAGTACCCAGAACAGTACTTGATACTTAATAGGAGCCTAATAATTATTTGTTGATGAATGAAGAAATTCCTCACAGAAAACAAGAATAAAAATTAACACAAGGTAGCCTGGAATAGTATCTGCCTTTATAAGTTACTTAAACATGTAAGTATATAGCATTAGTCCTAAATTCAAACTTTTCAAGTTTGAAAAGTAAAAGGAGATGAAGTTGAAAAGTGAGCAGTTTATGTTGGTGAGAATTAAAACAAACGAACAAACAAAAAAACTAGAGTTCTAAAAAAGTAAAAGGATTCAATCTACCATCAAAATCTCAGATAAACTAGACCAAAGGCCTACCATGCTCCAGTTACTTTGTACAATTATCTATCTATTTATCTATCATCTATCTATCTATCTATCTATCTATCTATCTATCTATCTATCCATCTATCTATCATCATCTACCATCGCCACAGTAAAGTCACATCACAAACACCATCTATGAGAACATCTACTCACAGCCCCCTAACCCTACACGTCACTATATTCAGTGACACAGTGCAAGAGCAGCTGGCCAGTTCACAACGGGCAGGCAGGCTGTTTTGGCTGCTTTCTGGGACATTATCAAGACCCCCAATCATAAGCAGATTTTAACACACCAAGAAATGGTCATTTTGTCCACATTTAGAAAGAGAGAAAAACAACAACCACAACAACCAGAAAGCCAGCACAAAGTAGTTAGTGCTTCTTCACAAAACACTATTTTTTTTAAGATGAGCATCTTGGTATCTACAAAGTTGTAATTTAGAAATAAAATATGATAGCACTCAAAGCTAAGTTTAACTTTGATTTCTAGGATTTGTTCATAGAAGGCTTTTATATAAGTGTGGCTTTTATATAAGTGCAATACAGGTTTATAAAACATCATGCAGATAGATTCCTCTCCAAATTATAGGTGTTTTCCTGAAAATCATGAAAATTAAAGTTTGGCCAGTTGAGTCAATCTTTTAGTTCACTAGAGAAGCTTATTAATTGCAGAAATCCTACACTGAAATTATTTGTGAACTGAATGTAATTTCTAATTATTTTAAAATGCATACATTGGTTTTATGACAGTAAATGAACACAAAAAGAAACAATGAATTAAAAATTAATCTTTATGTTTTGACATATTTTATATAAGTATATATTCTAAGCCATAAAATCACCATCGTAAACATTTGAGCACTTACTTATATATCATTTGAAATCTCACACTAAATGTATGAAGTAGGAACTATTATTATGACAACTTTTAAGCTGAGAAAACTAAGTCTTCAAACAGGTAGACTATTCTGAACTCAAACACTGCAAGTCCAGATACTATTTTTAAAAGAATTTTACATTGTTCTGAAAGAATTCTGGTCTGTTAAAACATGATGCCACAGGTGGTGATGAGTTCACGCCCCCGCTGACGGGGGGCCGGCAGTAGGGAAGGCTGCGCACGTGGGGGCGGGGGGGTCAGGGGACGCACGGGCACCTCAGTGCTTTCTGCTCAGTGTTGCTGTGCACCTGAGACTGCTCCAAAAACAAAGCTTATTAATTAAAAAAGATGGACATTCCCAAAATGTTCATAGACAAAATTTTCAGTATTCAAAGCTAATCAATGGCCAATCCATTTCTTACTATGATGAAGATGATACCGTGCTAAACAGAGGGAATTACATTTTTCTGATCAAATGTTTTCCTAAAACATTTTTTTTAGCTGGAATTATTTAAAAATTGGTATTGAATTCTTTTCAGGGTTAGATCATAAAACTAAACTGCTTTTCAATGAGTTGTCAGTGATTCATATTTAAAAATTGGTATTACATTTTTTTAGGCTTAGATCATAAAACTAAACAGTCCTTCCTTCAATGAGCACTCAAATGATTCATATGGGGTAGGCTAAGGATTGAAATACAAGTCTTAGTAAATAGGAAATAAGAATGAAAATGTTCATTTGGAAAATTACTTTTTGATAAGGAAGATTAAAGAGGCTTGGGCAAAAAGCTTGCAGAGTTAGCACTCCGTGTCTGCAGGTTCTGCATCCTCAGATTCGAACAACCAACAATCAAAATTACTGAGGAAGAAAAAAGTCGTGCTGCTGCTGACACTAAGTATTAGTTAGGACTACAGTGCTTGTGTCTGTACTAAATATGTACTGTACTAAATGACAACAACTTTTGTTCTTGTCATTATTGCCTAAACAATACAGTGTAACAATTATTTATAGAGCATTTACCTGGCATTAGGTAGTTTAAGTAATCCAGAGATCATTTAAAGTATAAAGGAGGATGTCTGCAGGTTACTTGCAAATACAACACCATTTTGCATAAGGGACTGGAGGCTCCCCAGATACTGGGGTCTGTGCGGGTCCTGGAAGAAATCCTCTGTGGATACTGAGGGATGACTGTACTCTCTGAAGCAATAATTCTCATTTTGTTTTTCTGGATGCAGATTCATGTAGTATGTCAATCTTTGGCTTTGGTAGTTATTTTACTTACTTCCATCTACTTTATCAAAAAGTCACCAAAATGAAGTGACCTTTTTAAAAAAAATAAAACAAGATTATATGATTTATTCATGCAAGACATGGAAGACAATGATAAACATCAGTATATTTTAATTTATAATAATGTATCTGAACATCCTTGATACGTAATTTAATAACTGTAATTGTGAAGTACAGTTATCCCCCTTACCTGTGGTTTTAGTTACCCATGGTGAACCATGGTCTGAAATATTAAATGGAAAATTCCAGAAACAAACAATTCCTAAGTTTTCAATTGCACCCCCTTCTGCGCAGTGTGAGGAAATCTTGTGCTGTCCTTCCCAGGATGTGAATCATCCCTCTGCCCGGCGTATCCATGCTGGATACGCGACCTGACCACTCGTCAGTTAGCAGCTGTCTCCTTATCATATTGACTGTCACGATATCTCAGTGCTTATGCTCACGTCATCCGTACTCCAGTTCAAATGGCTCCAGAGGGCAAGAGCAGTGATGTTGGCAATCTGCAAGCCAAGAAGCTATCAATGGCTTCCTATAAGTGCAAAAGTATGTATGTGCAGGGAAAACATAGTAGGGTTCAGTATTATCCACAGGTTCAGGTACCCACTGGGGTCTTAGAAGGTATCCCCTGTAGATCAGGGGGGAACAAATCTGAAAAAAATGTAATTTAATTTAAAAATCTATAATTTCTCATAAAAATGTTCAACATCACTCATTAGAGAAATTAAAATCAAAACCACAATAAGATATTACCTCATACCTGTGAGAATGGCCATCATCCAAAAGACAAATGGCAAGTGTTGGGGAGGAGGGGGAGAAAAGGGATCCCTCATCCACTGGTGGTGGGAATGTAAACTGGTGCAACTATGAAAAACAATATGGAGGTTCCTTAAAAAATTAAGGCTAGAACTACCCATGTGATCCAGCAACTCCACTTCTGGGTACTTATCCAAAGAATATAAAAACATTAATTCGAAAAGATATATGCATCCCTATGTTAACTGCAGTATTATTTACAACAGCCAACACATGGAAACAACCTAAGTAAGAGTCCATCAGTGGATGAGTGGATAAAGAAGATATGGTGTGTATACATATATACACATACACACGCACATACACAATGGAATACTACTCAGCATAAAAACAGAAGAAATATTGTCGTATGTGACAACAGGGATGGACCTAGGATCCAGAAAGGGAAGGTACTACTTGTTTCATTAAGCTTCAACTGACATGTAGGCCTAGCCATTGTAAAAGCAGCTGTAAACATATGACTGTAAAAAGGATTTGAAGCAAAACATTATTTGAAGATTAAACTCAATGGTAGGCTTAAAAATTAGACGTAGAAGCACTGTAGTTTTTTAGGTTATGTGCAAATTCTAAGCACTTCTGCCTGTACTTAAGATTTTAAAGTGTTTTTTAAATGATTAAAAACCCAGTATTCTAGGTTTAAGAATAACACATCTGACTGCCCTGTTTACAGTGTACCTTTGACTCTACAATTCGCTGTAAGGTTCAATTTCTGCTGAGCTTTTTCTGCAATACGCATAGTGTATTGCACTGTGCCCTCATCTCCCTTTAAATGTTCAGTCTCTGTAAGATTTTGCTGATTAGGGCCAGAGCAGAAATGCTTACTGGGGATTTACGAAGGAAGAAGAGATGACCCTAAGTAACTCTGTAAGTTGGGTCTGATTCAACTACTTTCCTTTCTGTGTTCTAACTTCTCTCCTATCCTGGTTCCAGTCATTAAAGTTACAAAGTAGCCTGGTATCCAGAAAGCTTTTAAAAAGTCAGGTTCTTTACTTTTCTCTTTGTTATTTAGAGTACTCTTGAGAGAAATCTAAAAACCAGTTTAGTAATGACGAGTGCCCCAGCAATTTATTTGAAATTTAATGTTAGGTTTGGTTTAGCAGTGACTGAAGTTGCTACAGTTTCACTTTAGTTCAAACCAGGTTATGTGGTAAACAAAAACAACAACTATAAAAAAAAGAACTGATCCTCCCCCACCCCAGTTTGCTTCCAGTTAAAAATAACAGAACAGTGAGACATATTTGCTTTTTCCAGTTGATAGATCAGAGTTGGAATCCCAGCTTTGCTACTTCTGGCTGTGTATGGGAAAATTAGAGCAGCTACTGCAGCTATAAATACTGTGCACTCAAATATATGTTGAATGAGTGAATGGATGACTAAGCAAATGATTTAAAGCTCTCTACATCTTGGTTGGTGTATGTCTAAAAAAGAGGAATCTGGACCTCTACCAAAAGGCTGGGCCATGATGATTAAATTCATATAAAGCATTTACAACAATGCCTAGCACAGAATAAGCACACAATAAATATTAGTTTTTGTCATTACACCAAGCAAACAGCCCGCAACTATATCCAAACTGCTGAAATATGGATTGTAAAAAATGAGTTACAGTCAAACTAGATTATCATCAGGAAGAAAAAGGCAATACACATTTATATTTCATGACTTTTTGTTCCAGTTTTGTGTCTAGAGTTCAAGGAAGAACTAGGGAATAGTGAAATATTCAAAACAGTTGAGGGGAAGTTGAAGAGGAACAGAAAGGGAGAAAAGAATGAATCACGAGGCTCTGATAGTCACTGAATAAGAGATGATTATTGTAAACGGCACTCACTCCTCAGGAAGTGAAAATCATCAGGCACCACTACAGAGGTGAGGGACTATCGCTGGCCCGGAGCAGCTCAATCAGGTTGCTTTCATAGGTGTGTTTGCTGGTTGTTCTTGGTTTTATTTTTTAACTGGTGATGAGAAGTACACGGATGGAGTATTTGCTCCTCTGTGCTAACAATCCTGGAATAGCCTCTCTCCAGATACTTCTCTACCTTACCCTGACATAAAAAATGGAGGAGTAAATCCTTGGCTAACTGCTTTTTAGTCACTCAATGCCATATCCCACTTAGACAGGCAGCACTGGAAGATAAAATCCAGGGAAGCAAGCTCCTAGTCTTTGGGCCTGTTAGATAGAATATGTTGAATTGAGTATCTTACTCCATCATTTCACTTCCTTTATGCTTAGAAGACAGAAGAGATTTGATAACTAGTCAAAAACAGCACCTGGCATCTACAAGTGAAAACAGTTTTCTTGACTCCATGCAATTTTTATTAATGATAACACATCTAACAAAAAGTCTACTCGCTAAGGCTATACTTACATTAAATACAATGCAGAATGAACAGGATACTGTTTATCTAATTTGCTCACCTGTGAATTATCTCATCTTACCCCTTTCTCCTTTCGTAAGCCCAATTTCAACCCATTTTTCTCCCCACTTTCTTTTTGCCTTTATTTTTTTTAAAGATGGAGATCCTTGGATCTGACACTTAATCTTTAATTGAATACTTAATCCTCACTTCACAAGTCATTTTTTGCAGACAGTATTTTTATTTCCATAACGATGTTTGATGCCAATGTTGTTTCTAGGCTACCTTCTTTAACATTTTTTTGGTCAAGGAATGCATAATTTTAATATAAACTAAAATAATGTGTACCTAAAAATGTAAGTCTTTGGGGTAAGACAAACAGCTGATTTGAAAATAAAAAATGCTTTCAACTGTGATATTTTGGAATTCCTTTTCTTTTCTTTAATTACAGTAAGACTTCCTGAAATATTTCACAAAGTCCTCTGGAAAATTCAGCAGAGGTGGGGTACAGGATTGATGGAACAGAATCAAGGAGGATTTAGTTTGTTAACATAATAAACGAGGGACAAGATCATGGTTATGGGAATGGACTGTGTAATTCTTGTTTTACTCATTTGCTGCCTTCAAACGTGCTAAGTGATTTCTAGGCTGCTCATTAAGTCACTATCACAGGACCTACCTCCTCACAAACTGTAGAAAAGCGGTTGAGGAACTGTATAGTGTGCACCACAAACTGGTTTAGAAATGCCACCGTTCTTTTCTGTTGAATAGCTGGCACCTGTTATGTAAAAGAAATACGTAATTCGTACAGGAGGAACATACAGTGTACAATCCCTTTGATATTAGTAACAAGGGGTGTTTTGCTGTGTGATGAGTCCCTTGAAGTACTTTGAAGAGCACTTGTTTCCCTAAAGGGTGGAGGTAGGGATGGGGGGTCCAAAGATGATACAGGCTGCGTAAGTTCCAGACCGGGCGCTAGATTCACAAGTAAGAACTGCCGGGAAACACAATACACATAAACACACAAAAAAACTTCCGGGCCCAATAAAGGAGGTAGTGTTAGAGGGAGCTACCGGCCCCTGTCGCCAGTGAGTCACCCTTGAGCAGGCAGACTCGTGACACGGGAAGCGAAGGCTCAGAGAGGCACACTGAGCCTTTAAACAGCTCTGGAAGGTCCCCTTTTCACGGGGAACTGTGAGGCTCTCCCACCCGAGGACCGCAGAAGAGAAGCCCCGGGTCAGGGACAGGGCAGGAGATGGGGAGACCGGGTCTCCCTGGAAACCGGCGTCCCTTCACCATCCTCCTCCCATTTCACCGGAAGTCCAGATCCTTCTTTTACAAACCTTGGTCAGGTCTATGCCTGACCCCATGAGAGGAAGCCCGTCCTCATCCATCTCCTCCGCGGGCGGGGTACCCAGGGATCACCCACAAACCCCTTCCCAATGGGGCTCATCCAACTCCGTATTAACGTTTGAAGTCTCCCCAAGTCCCCACCTCTTGGGCCCTTCCTACCGGAAGGAAATGCCTCTGCTCGCCAATCACGCGGCGGTTATCGAGGAGCCCCTCCCATCGCATAGCATTCTGGGATTGGTAGTTCTAGCTTCAGATTGTAAAGTCCGACGAAGGGGTGCAAAGTCGAGTGATGCTGCAGTTCTAGCGGCAAAATCTTTCAAATGTAGCAAAAAGGAAAAGTAAAAAATTGTGGTCCGTTTGCGGTTATCCCTGGTTAGCTGTCTGTTATATAAATAACTCATGCGTTAGTCAAATAGGTCATTTGTTAATGAAATACATATATTTTCCTACTGCTAAATACCAGATACTCTGCTAGGCCCGTGGGGAATAGAAAGATTGAATCTCGTTAAGACTTTCGTGCTTTATGTCCTGAAAGAGAAAATAAGACTTGTTTCCAAAAGTCTTTAAAACATGAAATAAAATGTCAAATGCTACTTGGGAGGCAGAAAACTGATGGAAGTGATATCCACTTAGAGAGATCATGAAAAAGGCACAACGCACACCTGGAAAGAACTTTGCAATTGGGATTTGAACATCTTGGTTCAGATTTTGACTGTGCCATCTACCAGCTATTTGAGGCAGGACAGGTCACCAAACCCAAAGCTGAACCTTTTCTACCAGGTTACAAAGAAGATGCTTAGTCCTGAAAAGATGAAGAAAATAGTCTCTGCCTTCAAGACGTTTATAATCCAGGGCAGAGGTACAGCTGTAAGTGCCGCATCTAGGCAGATGTAATGTCCTGAAGGAGAAGAAAGTAGTAGGAAAATACATGTATTTCATTGTTTCTCTGGAACAATACTGAGAAAGTTGTGTGTGTGTGTACAAACGTGAGTGCACAACCACACAGATGCAAAGTGCACTGGTATTGTAGATAAAAGGTGCCCCTTAATCTGATGAGAAAACCAGAGAAGGTAGCTTTTTAGCTGGCCCTGGAATGCAATTAGCCAGGCAGACAATTTTGGAGAAACTTTGTACAAAGGTATTGAGCACGGTAGTATGGTATGTAGGGGAGGGAATTGGCTAACTGTTAGGTTCTGTTGAAGCCAAAAAAAAAAAAAAAATCCCAGAAATGATGGATGGTTGCAAAGGAGGCCGAAGTAGATGGATTAGCTCATTAAGGCCCGTTTGTGACAGATTTGATACTGTAAGTCCATGTTTCTTTAAAGTGTGAGAAATTATTTGGGCGTAGGTGGTACTTCTTACAATACACATTCCAGAAATCACCCTTTAGATACACCATCAGGATCTATGGGAATGAGTCCAGAAATCTCATTTTAACCAATTTTCCTTCCCACCCCCAATTATTCTGAACCAAAAGGTTAAAAAGTTACTTCAATAGATGATGGGAGCTATTTAAAAATTCTGAACAGAAGGATGACATGATTCACAGCTATAGAAAGGCTACACAATGCCTAGCACATAGATGTGTAATCAAGGTGGAAACAGAAAAGTTGAGAGTATTTGTAAATGCAGAAATGGGAAGTAGAAGTGAGGAAGAATAGGAATCCATTTAAACACATGTCTCTTCATGTCTATAATTATGTCTATATAATCTCTTCATATCTATAATTGAATATTTCACTTTTACTCTTCATTATATATTGAGCACCTTCCATGTTTTAAATACTGTGCTAGTGCCACAGCTATAAAAAGATAAACATTGTGACAATTCTAGACAACTGTTTTTTATGTTCCTTTTCACCTGAATAAAGTCCACATGAGGAAGAAATTTTCCAATAGGCTATAAATTACTTGGGTCAAGGGTTATCTTCTTAGGATTCCTCAGTTAGTACAAGCCACTCTGATTTCCGATGAATAATCATTAATAACTTTAATACACAGTCTTGAGCACTTACTATGATCTAAGATTGTACCAGGCAGAAGAGCTATTCATCCACATTCCCTACTGCATGACAAACACTGTTATCTGAACCTGGGACACAGCAGTAAACAGAATAGACAAATATTCTGCCTTCATTAAGGTAAATAGATAATAAATAAGTGAGCAAACAGGCATTCAGTAGCTCACAGTCAGGGTAGGGAGGGAGGAAAATGAAAAGACATTAACAGCTAAGAGATAAAGAGATAAAATCTAGGCTAAAGTATGCCCCAAATAGGAGCACCTGGTTCAGATGGATGAAATCAGGCATAGCTTCCTGGAGGAGCTGATGTCTTAACTGAATTTGGAAGACATGAAAGTTAGCAAGGTGAAGAAGGGAGGAGCACTTCACAAAGAGGAACAGCATGTACAAAGGTACTAGGATTTGCACCCCAGAGATCTACATGCTGCAGACAAGAGCACCCTTTCCCCGGCCTTCATACCACCTTTGGTAGGAGTGCAGGCTACCACCTGTTCTTTCGCTAACCTGCCCGCTTCTGCCCAGCTCCTTTTCTGCTACCCCTCTGTGCCTTCAGACCTTTACGATCAGTCCCAAACTCCCAAGTCCTCCCTTGTCCTTTAGACTCTCAACCTCTATGACTTTCTGTATCACCTTTTCTGACCACTCCCCAACTCCCGGGCCCTTCCTCTAGGGTTTGAGATTTGGGTCACTAGCAAAATCCTCATTTCTCAACCTCTTTGATCACTTTCTTCTTCCAACTGAATTGTGACTTGAGGATATAGCATCCTGTTCAGCCTGTGGTTCTTTTCTCACCCACATTCCTACATTAGTAGGCCAGGAGGAGGGGCAGGTGTTTCCTTTGCTTCTCCTTGTTTCCAGATCATTGTCTCCCCTTTTTCCATAAAAACACCCCGGGAGTCTGAGTTTCTGCTATCAGATACAAGATGGTTTCTTGTGGTAGTCATCGTCTCCTGGTTACTACTGCGCATTCCCCAAAGTTCTTAGTTTTTGGCTCACTGCCAGTTCCTAACACTACTCCTATGATAATTCTTGGGATTTGAGTATCTACAGAGATCATCTTTCTGGTATCCCGACCTCCCAACTCTCCTCCAGTGATTTTGTCCGCTTACCCTCATTGTTTCAGGCTTGTTAATTGTTGTGACTTTCGGAACTTCCCTCAGAAAGTTGGATTGTAGGCTTATACCCTCTAGGTTGGAAACTGGATCCCTCTCTAGAAAGCTACTTTAAGAGATTCAAAGATATTTACGGTTTGGGGAGCCTCAACAGAACAGCAGGTAGCCTAATGAGAGGGTTAGAAAAAGGCCTCAATTGTATTTATATCCATGAGTTTTATTTCCTTAATTTAAATTATATTTTATTGTTTGTGCTATTACAGTTCCCAAATTTTTCCCCTTTGCCACCCTCCACTCAGACCCCCATCCCCCAGACAATCCCCACACCATTGTCCGTGTCCATGGGTCATGCGTGTATATATAGTCTTTGGCTACTATATTCCCTATGCTGTCCTTTACATCCTCATGACTATTCTTTAACTGCCAATTTGTACTTAGAAAAAAGATTTTATTCATTTATTTTTAGAGAAAGGGGAAGGAAGAGAGGGAGAGAAACATCAATCAGTGTGTGGCTGCTTCTTGCATGCCCCTTACTGGGGACCTGCAACCCAGGCATATGCCCTGACTGGGAATTGAACTGGAGACCCTTTGCTTTGCAGGCAGGCGCTCACTTCACTGAGCCACACCAGCTAGGGCCCAATCTGTGCTTATTAATCCCTTTACCTTTCCCATCCCTTTCCTGACGACCCTGCTCCCATTGGGTAACCATTGTATCCATGGGCTTTATTTATTTTTTTGTTTCATACATTACTTTATAATTGTTCAATTACAGTTGTGTGCATTTTTCCCCACCACTCCCCCAAACCCCATCCAAACCCACCTCCCTTGCTTCCACCCTCCCCCTTGGTTTTGTTTATGTGTCCTTTGGTTTTAAAATATGCAGGTGACTAGGTGAAAACACAGAGAGCCTAATGACATTGAAAGAATATATTGCTTATGTTTCCCAAGAGAATGGGGCAAGCCATGCCACAGAGAGCCATAAGGGAAACACTAGATTTTGGTTTTTAGGCAGACAGAAGCAGGAGCCAGGATAGCCTAGGGCAGAATCCTTACTGGGATTTCTTTCTTTTTCTTTCCTTTCCTTTCCTTTCCTTTTCTTTTCTTTCCTTTCCCTTCCTTCCTTCCTTCCTTCCTTCCTTCCTTCCTTCCTTCCTTCCTTCCTTCCTTCCTTCCTTCCTTCCTTCCTTCCTTCCTTCCTTTTCTTCTTTTCTTTCTTTCTTTCTTTCTTTCTTTCTTTCTTTCTTTCTTTCTTTCTTTCTTTCTTTCTTTCTTTCTTTCTTTCTTTCTTTCTTTCTTTCTTTCTTTCTTTCTTTCTTTCTTTCTTTCTTTCTTTCTTTCTTTCTTTCTCTTTCTTTCTTTCTTTCTTTCTTTCTTTCTTTCTTTCTTTCTTTCTTTCTTTCTTTCTTTCTTTCTTTTTCTTTTTTTTTTGGTGGGAAAGGCAAGGCAAGGCAGGGCAGGGCAAATGGTTGAAGACTGGCTAGTGCGAATGATTCTGGAGGTCTTTGGAGCACAGCCTAGCTATCTGTGCCTTGCTCTGGGTTGATTTAGGGCAGGGGAAATATTAGCTTGGTGTCTGAAAAGTTATATAAGCTAGTTGGAGGTACAGGTACCCCTGCATTTATAACTTCTTGTTATGCCACTTGGCTAACTGAAAGAAGTCCAAAGAGGATTGTAGCGTTTGTGGGAAAAGGCAACAAAGGAAAATAGTGTCATTGGTTTTGCAGGGAACCAGTAAGGCAATGGGCACCGTCAGCATCCGAGAGTGGCTCCACCAAGGTCATTTTTGGGGGAACTACACTCAGTATCTCAGCATCAGCACGCCATAGCTTTGAACTGTCTGTGCCCATTTGTGCTTCTCTCAAGTATTCTGCACATCCCTTAGCACGAGATGTCCTAAGGTATCAAAACCAAACAAAAACAACAAAATAAACCCAAACAACACTTAAGAGAGCTCAAAAGGGTGTCACACTTAGCATAGAACTGGGCAGAAGTAAGCATTTGGGTCATTGTGAACAA